GCTCGGAAATGGCTGGAAGTCCTCTTCAAGTTTTGAACAACTGGTGTGTGTGTGTGGGTTAAACATTGTAGAGGTGAGAGAACAACCTTTTTAACAGATGAGCCATTGTCCCAAAGACTTCACCCAAAGGTGAAGGAATTCACTAAATTTGGGGGGATGGGAAACTATATTTTTGATAGTGGGATCAGGAAGGTTGGTGGGGCCAAAGAGCCATAAAAGCACTCATGGGGGCACATACAACTCCAGACCCACACTTTGCATGATGTCATAATGTCACAGCATAATGCTTTTCCTCTGTAAGAACCAAAATGTTTCTTATGGAACGTAGCTGCATCTACAAAACATTACCGTGTAGCTTCTACATGGGACAGAACAACCCACAGTGACAAAAGCACAGGAGTGCAATTGCCTGAGAGATTTGTTCAAGCCAACACGTGACTTGCTTTGTATGCAGGTGTGAGAACAGTCTTAGAAAACAGGGAGGTCCCCAGCAATCGGGCAAGGCTTGACTTTTTCACACTTGACAGCTTTTAACAGCTGGATGCCTTCAAAGGACAGAGGCGGAGAAGATTTCCTGGGACCAGCTTAAGATTGGCTTTTCAATAAAGAGGGCCAAACAGAGGGAATCAGATAATAAAGGAAAGGCAGATTATTGGGACTCAGACTGTTCAGTCATTATGTCAAACACCAATTTGTGTAACAAGCCTTTTCAAGTAGCAAGCAAGGAGAAACACTTGGACCTCCAATTAATCTGAGTCTCCGCTCCAAGTGTTTCTCTTTAACCCATGTTTTATTTATTCCATCCATCTCAATAAACCATGGCAGGGGCCTTTTATGAATGTCCACATGGGTTATTATTTAAAAGGGTATGTCATCTGGCTTAATCTGATTTAATCTCACTAGATTTAGACTGATAAAATGTATTTATAGCCTTCTTACCAGTACGTGTGTAAGTGTGTATCTGTCTCCCACCCTCTTTCCCCCTCCCTTCTTAGCCACTGTAATATTCAAAATAAAGGGGGGGAAGAGTATTTGAAATGCAACACTCGAATTCCCAATATTTCCACATTAAGCACCATAAGAGACAACCCTCCAGAACATGAAATAGTCCTTCTATATATAGCTTGGGGCTACGGCTCAAGACCAAAATTTAGGGCAAAAGAAAAGAACGGGTGGGGAGAGAGTCTCTAATCCTAATTTAAATTATATCGTAAATATAACAGCTTTGATAGAGCATGGCAAAAAGCTACCAATAATTCCCATTGCACTACTGTATCTTAAAACAAACTGCTGAGACCGGTGAACGTTTTGGGAAAAGACTGAAAGTTTGTGGAATGGTGATATCAATGACACAAACCAGACATAGAGAAACAGTTCTATATTAATGCTGTTTATTCTCCCAGTAAATAGTTGAAAGAAGAGAAAGAAGGCAGACAGATTTTGTTTGTAAGCCTGCAGATACAGAAAAGCCCAAATCCCTCCAAATTAAATAAGGAGTTGCATGCTCTACATGCTTTAAAGGGTGTTTTCCTTTTTGGCATGCTTGCCTTTTTAACCCGTCTTTCTGATCATCCTTACTCCAAATAACGTGGTGATATTATTCTACACATCTAGCTGTTCGGAGGCATTGAGAAAAGAAGGGTGGGGAAAACTTGATTAAGGAATAAGACACAGGGTCTGAGGATTCAAAAAAAAAATCCAGAAAATAAGACAGACAATCTAGAAGGGGCTGGAGAGGCCTTTGAGAGCAAATTCACCACTAGTTCTGCTTGCATTGCACCAGTCAGGCTAATTAAAACTAAAAAGTTTTCCTGGGAGCAGATAAAATGCCCATGGGCATGTAAAAATCTGCAGACATAATGTTTCTCTGGCCAGAAATATATTGCGCGCACACACACACGCACACGCACACACAACACACACAATCCCACTGCTCTTGGGTACTTCACATAACCTCCCTCCAGACTTTAAATCTCCCACCCACCCTCTTTCTCTTTTGACAGAGACAGGATGGGTGTGGGTGCAAAGGAGCTGAAAGGAAGCAGCATCCATCCGCGCGCACACACACACACACACACACACACACACACACACACACACACACACACACACACACACACACACACACACACACACACACACACACAAAATCCCACTGCTCTTGGGTACTTCACATAGCCTCCCTCCAGACTTTAAATCTCCCACCCACCCTCTTTCTCTTTTGACAGAGACAGGATGGGTGTGGGTGCAAAGGAGCTGAAAGGAAGCAGCATCCATCAAAAACAGTTATTTCAAAAAATAAAAATAAAAGCTGCACTTTAACAATCTAGCCCTAAGGGAGATGAAGAGCCAACCCCACCACACACACACAAACATTTTAAAAAGAAAAAGTGAATCATTAAAACGACCTACAAAAGCTTCTCAGCTTTAAGGCAGAAGAGAGAGCTAAACTCAGGAATGGTGGAATTTACACACAGGCAAAAAGTCAGCTAAAAGCTGCTTTTGTTTTTCTTGTTTAACTCACTGAAGGTTTACTATCCTTAATTTCTTTCCTGCAAGGGGTACAAGACTGCCTTGAGGAGTGGGTAAGCAAGACACACAACTTGGCCATCAGGCTGAACGGCCTGAAAAGAATCCACTTTCTTTTAATCCTACTGTCTGTACTGAGGAAGATTAAGATCAAAAGAAAGAGGAAGGGAGGGAGAAAAAGGTGGTTTTCACCTTAACCTTTCTCCTGAATGTACATGCAAAGTTCTGCAGGCTGTCTGGATGCTAACTTTCAGAAAATCAACTTTTTAAAAGATTAGCATCTATCAATTAGGTTTATTGTATTCGCGAAGGCTTTCACAGCCGGGATCTAATGGTTGTTGTGGGTTTTTCGGGCTCTTTGGCCCGTGTTCTGAACGTTAGGAAGAACATGGCCAAAGAGCCCAAAAAACCCACAACAATTAGGTTTATTCTTCTTCACTTTCCAGTTTGGTGGCTGTCCTTCAGATCAGGGTTTTCCTTTGAAGTTACATCACCAGGCACTCCAAAGCACTACAAACACTAAAAACATCCTGAGCATCACTTGGCAATGGTCCAAAATTGGTGGAGGAGAGAGTGTTAAGGGTCCTCTGTGCCCAAAGCAGGATTTATCCTAGAACAGGAGAATGGGAGCATCCTACCTCAGGAATAGGTTTTACACCACTGCAGAAGGAAAACTTAAGGTAAAAGAACACGGCTTTGATAAGCTCTGTGAATCTGCTTCATAATAACTGGTGAAGCTGCTTTCTTAATTTTTTATTATTATTAATCTGTTCTTATGGGTTTGAAATGCTGATTGCTATACAAAAGCAAAAGCGGTCGGAGCAGCTTGTGCCCTCGCCCGTGGGCATTTGCAAAAGTCCCTCCCCATTGCCCAGGACCAGATGCCCCTTTGCCATTGCCCCCACCCCAGGGACTGGAGGGTGACACATTATTTTGTGTTACCGTTGAGGCCACCCAATGGGGGTGGTCTGTGTGCATGTGCAAACTGTTTCTGGCAAGTTGTGTGCCAACTTGCCATGCCCACGGGGCAACTACTCCCTCTTTACCTACCGTGATCTCAGAATGGATCTCCCAGAACCCTTTTTTTAAAAAACAGACCATTTCAAACAGTGTCCAAGGGGGGGGGGGAAATGGAAGACGATCGACACCCATCCCTTCTAATTTCTAACCGCAAAACAGGCAGAAGGGAAGCAAATACTCTCTCACCTCCGGGATCCCGCCAGCCTTTCCCGCTCCCCTCTGCCCCTTGACTGCTCCCCAAGTGCCCTCGCAATTCCCCGGAGGGGGGGGACTTCCCAACAGCAACAGCGGCAGTGGGCATGCGCGGTGTCACCGAGCAGAGCTGATCCGAATCCCGCTTCATTTTAAAATCAGGGAGCTGGATGACGATCTGGCCGGGGCATCTCGAACATGGCCCTTCCTTCCCGCTGGTTTTCGTGCGGGCCGGGTTTGCGGGAGGGAAGAAGAGCCGACCTTCCTCCCACCGCTTTCCCGGCGCGGAAGGATGCCTTTCTAGCCGCTACAAGTGGGGGGTCTGTCCCGAAGGTGATCAAAAGAATCGAGGCTGATTTTTAAAAATCCTCAAATATGTGCTGGTGGGGCTTTTCTCTTTTATGGACTGTTAAGGACAGCCGCCTGGCTTTTCCGTAGCACATAAATGCACGCACCCACAGCACAAACACAAAAACATGCATTTTCATGGGAACCGTCTCAACAAGTAACCCAAACGTATGGTAAGGAAAGAGGGAAGGGGGGAGGCTAGTGCCGAGCTTACTGGAAAGGGGCGATCCAAAGGGGGGGGAAGTGAGCGAAAGAAAACGGGGGGGAGAGGAAAGCTCGCCCCCCCCATTTGAAATGGTAAGCTTGCCCCTTCTCTGGTAAGACACGTAAGAATCCTGCGGACACCCCCCTGCCATTGCCCCTCGACCCACATCGCCACTCTGTGCAGCGTATCTCCTGGCGGACACAACAAGTTGGTTTACAATCTTCCCTCCCTTAAAAATATCCGATAAGGAAAAGGCAAACGCTGCTCGGGTTGAGGTTGCCAAAGGGTTACAACAACAACCAGCTTGCTGGGGGGGCAATGTGTAGCCTGTATAATTAAAAAAATGTAAACCGCCCGGAGAGTGCTTGTAGCGCTATGGGGCGGTATATAAGTCAAATAAATAAATAAATAAATAAACAGTCTCTCCGGAGTCATAAATCGCGAAAGGGGAGGCAGGATAAGATCGGCGGCAGAGGTATTGTCAGAGAGGAAGTAGCTAACGGGGCTGTGGGAAGCCTTCAGCTGCATCCCTAAATCCTCACTCGGTCCAAAGAATCTGCTTCTCCCCCCCCCCCGCTCCATGCAGATGCTTTCCGTTTTTCACAAACTTTGCTCCGATCACGCCGCGACTCTTCCAACTCGCACTCCGACCCCTCCATTCCCACGAAATCGTCACACACACACACACCCACGAAGGTTTCCTTACCATAAACCCCTTGTCCCCTGGTGTAGACCGGGACCAGAGAGAGAAATAAAACCCAAATAGTCTCCATCTTCAAGGCAGAAGCTTCATAGCCAGCGAGGAAAATAGCAGCCAACCCCGAAAGAAAGAAAGCCCAGCCAGCCTCAGGCGGCGCGTGGATCCGAGGAAGAGGCGAGGACGCGATTCCCTCCGAAAGGCGCCCCGCTTCGCACGGCCTCCAAGCCAGACCGGGAGGACGGGGTCCAGGCAGCCTCTCAGCCCCGCCGGCGCAGGACGCCTCAGCCCGGCGAGCGAGTCAGGCTCAGCCCGCGCCCCTCGCAAAGCTGGCCGAGCTTCTCCGGATTCCGCTCCCACGGCCGAGTCAATTCGAACGAGGA